AAAAGTAAAGCCTAACATTTTTTAGAAAATAATTTCTAAAACAGACTTTCTTAAATCCCACTAAATCCCACCTTGGCCACAGTGCCCTTTGAGTTCCTTGGAATCCAGCTACTGTCCTCATCCTCTGAAGACCAGCTTTCTTCTTTGAAAGTAATTTCCTCCAACTGCAGAAAAGAAGGAGAATGAGTTGGGGAGGCAACAATTTCTCAGCATCATTCTTGCTTGATACTTAAGGGACAATATAAATATGAAAATCACTCTTAGTACTTCTGGATGAACCACAGCAAAGGATAGAAAAAGGAAGATGCAAATGAAACATCTTTACTTGCCTCTCACCTTAACTGACTTGGGATGGTCAGGCTGAGTATCATCATTGTAATCATCTGACAATGCTGCAATAGAAGCCATCTTCTCTGAGATGTCTACTGATGCTTGTCTTGAGGGTCTGGGGTCTCCAGCTTCAAAGCTTTTCTTTCTTGATACCTGCATTATTTTGCTCTTCTGTGGATTGACCTGAGTGAAAATGGATTATAAGAAATTTGATATATGCATGTGATATTTCATCAGAACTTCCATAACTAATCACTATCTAATCTCTATATAAAAAAAAATAATAATAAAAAATAAAATAAAAAAAAAAAAAAAGACAACCCCTGGAACTAAACATTAGCAAACACACACACTAACCTTTGAGGATTTTGCAGCTGATGGGGTCGCGTAAAAGGAATCCAGTGTATTGAGCTCGTCATATTTCATTGACATCTCTTGTCCTCTCCTTTTAGCTGTCCCTCCTGTCTTTTTGATCCCATGTGATTTATTCAGAACATTTAATCTCATTTTGTACATCATTTGGTGCTGAAATGAAGAATCAAATCATCTAAGTGAAGTGATGAAGATTCAATGTAAGTGAAATGATTAAAAGCATAACAAAACTAATTTTTCTGCTGGATATTATTCTGGGAAAATCCTACTAAAATTCTGGGAGGTAATTCTTGAACCCAGGATCAATTTCATCTGAGACGAACCTTGCCTTAGCATCTATGTTTTGGCTCTATAGCAGAGACCAACAAATATCCACTACATAATGGCAAGACATACATTGGACTGATTCTTTCTTTGTTGGCAAATCCCCAGACTGATCTACAAGCTGTATATTGCCAGAATATATGGGGTGGAAGTTTCATGTCCAATTGCCAATGTTGATAGCACGGAGGCTATGGCAAGCAGTTGTAGATGTTTAGCATGGATTAAAACAACAATAAATGGTCAGTAAACACAGCAAGCACTCTGTTGATACTAAAATAAACAGTATGCTTAATATGGCTATTTTAGTATGATTAAATTTCATACGTCAAGCATTTAAAATATTTTAGTATGATATTTTGTATATTTTATGTATAATATCTTCTTCCCTGTTCTTACCCTGCTTCTTCAATACTTTATGTGTCCATTCAGAACTGGGATCAAGGTAAATGTTACTGAGACACCAGCAATGGCTTTCAAAACAAGAATTTTCATGTAATGGTTGACAGTGTTCGATTCAGATCCATATGATTTATTTACACAGTGCTTTACAATAATCTGCCCTATGTGTGTTTTTGCCAGCGCAAGGTTCGACTGGCTGACAGGTTTAGTTACAGAGAGCTGGTGAAAATTGTTTCACTTTCAGTGTCGTGTTGATTCTGGGTAATACAGTGGCAACAAAGAACGGACTTTAGTAACCATCCCAGTTTGATATCTAAGCCAATCAAGTGCCCCAAATGCCCCCACAAAAAGTGATAAAAAATGAAGAAATCCAGACAACAGAAAGAAGCAAATGAAAGTTTGGTGTTTCCAGATATAAAGGTTTATTCTATATGGTTGTTTTTTATGGTATGGATGAAGCTCTGTCTTGCAGTGCATACCAAGGCGAAAAGAATGTTTCCTGGGGGGTGTTGGAAGGCAGAGCCCCCAGTCAATCCTCCCCTCAGCACCTAGTCACAGCGAAGTAGATTGTTAAATAAAATTTCTCATGTGAACTTAGGTTGATTTATTGGTCAGGATGTATTGTATGAATACCACTGGGGATTTGGATGGTGTGAATTCCCTTAGATTTTACCCAAAGATTGGGTTGGAATTCCATTAAACTTTTCAAATTTTGGTGCATCATTCCGTAGAATTTAAAAGAAGGCGGGCACATCCGTAGAAATTCATTAGCCAATTTTATGCATTTTTGTGGTTTTATACCTAACCTAGCCTACCATCATCTTCTTGTGTCACCGCCGCCAAATTGTTTGTGGGCAGTAGTACAATTTCAAAAGCGCATGTGCAGGATATGGCCTTACAAATAACACCAGTTGGGGTACGGCTGCCGTACCAGTAGTCAGTTTGGATGGATTATACAAAGATATTCTGTTAAATTACCATCTGTTTCAACTATTGTGATTTTAATCTCCATTTTTGCTATGACTTTTTTCTACATATTCCAAGTCTCATTTTGAAAAAATTGAAACTGCTTACGAGTATAGCAGAAACCCCCCCAATTAGTGTTCTGCCGATGCATGGTGAAACAAACAAGGTGGCAGTGGTTTCAACACAAAACAATTAGATTAGTGTTGGTTGGGTTGGGTTGGTGCTTATTATCCAAAAATAATGCTTATAAGCACATATTCGTATGTGTGCTGTACGCCTAATCGCGAGAACTCGGATACGGCTGCCGTATGCCTAACACCGGTCATTTAAATTCAAAAATAAGAGAATAAGATTTATTGTCAGACCGAGTATGGATTCCACAACCGGTAACTCTTCGTACTTATACTTGTTATTACTATCGACGACACGGCCATTTTTGTAAGATTTACCACATAACTTCAAATTTGTTTTTTTTATTACAGTCTTACCTTTTCCTCCTTCCCGTAGAAAGAAGAAAGAGAAAACTTTGTTCCTATAACACTCGTCATGTTTACAACCCCTTTTCTCCTCATGCAAAGTATTTCATCCACTTCGTCGCGTTTTTTCTCCTTCCTCTCTTCTTGTTTTCATAAAAAGGTTGCAAATTTTGGTGGAAAATGGCTCAGTTTGGCTCAATATCTTGTTTTTTGGTGTTGTTTCCTTGGCGCTCTGCTGATTTTCAAACGCGGACGGACGATATTGTAAACAAAGATGTTGGCAACGGCCTTACTTTTGTATAATTTTATTTTATTTTTATCCTTGCTATTTAAAGAATGATTTGTAAAGGCAACGCACTGTATCTTAATAGTATACATTCCATGAACGATTTATTATTAAGATGTCATGAAGTTGTGATAAATTATAAAATAAAATAATAACAGCTAGCGGCAACTGTACATCAAACATTCGAAAATAAGCAAAAGATGCGGACAATGAAAAAATAGTATCAAGCTTTTATTCTTGATATGTGTCAAAGCAATAATCATATTTTCTACCTCACAAAATACCTTTTTTTTGCCATTGATTGAATGTTGAAGTTATTCATATTCAGAAAAACTCAACAGATTCGAGACTTTTATCTCCTTTGAAAAAAAATATTATACAGAGACGCTATTATCATTATCATTATTATTATTGTGTTGTTATTGTTATTATTATTGCAATTATCATAATTGTTATTGTTTTTATTATTATTATTATTATTATTATTATTATTATTATAATTATTACTCTTATATTGTTATTATTATCATTATCATTATCACTACCTATATCATCATTAGGCTTTATCTGCTGCGTCCTTATCTGAAATTTCTTGCAATTTGGAGATTTTTGCTGCCGAATTTCAAATAATTTCCAGTCTGAGCGAGGGCTGGCCACTGGCAGCATGTCCGCCGTTTTCTAAACATTAAATGAGAAAGAAAACAGATGTAAATAATAATATTGAATCATATTTACGTTTTGGACATAATTACATTGTAAAAGATAATTAAAATGTACTTATTCAAAAGTAATGTTTTCACTGCACTACTTAAATCAATATACAATAAATGCATCAAATAATTCAATAAGGTATCAATACTCAACATAAATAACATATGCATATCTTTATAGAAAATGTATTAGATAAATAACTTACGAAGAGGGTGACATTGCACATGTAAACTTCATCCATCTAAAAAGTATACGACTACTCATAATGAATGTATTGCATAGCTGAAGGTGTAGAGTCACTCTATGTCGGATGACCCAGCTGAAGTGACATCGGATGAAATTTCCACCACCATGACGTTCGGACTGTCACATCATATCAGTTCTTACATGATGGTTTCAACAATCTTTATATCTAATTTATTTGAACATGGAAAAATATTTCTATGTTGGTTTAATCATTATCATTATTCAACAACAATGATAAGAACAATAGCAATGAAATAATAATAATAATAATAATAATAATAATAATAATAATAATAATAGTAATAATAAATGATAATAATAATAATAATTATAATGATGATAATGATTATATTATTGTAATAATAATTATTAGTTATACAAAGGGCGATGTACCTTAATTCATATCTAAAATGTTTGATTGTCACTTTATATTTCCTGATACCTTTGAGCTTGTATCTTTATTCATAACTACCAGTATCACTCCTATTCAAAGATCAGATTGCATTGCAATACTACATACATTTCTAATGCGGATTAAACAGCGAGTAGAAAATAATTCTCTCTCTCTCTCTCTCTCTCTCTCTCTCTCTCTCTCTCTCTCTCTCTCTCTCTCTCTCTCTCTCTCTCTCTCTCTCTCTCATAGGACGCAGTCACCTGTAATATTTTAAAATGTTTACAACTTTTATTGCTCATAGGGCGAGGAAATTACCCAGTGGCTTACAACAAAAAAGGAAAAAGAAAAAAGAAAAATAGAATGAAAAATTAGAAAAAAGAACAATCTTGGCTTAGCGATTTAGCACTACCTTTATGAAGTCGTTCTTAAAACAACAACAATAAGAAAACAATACAGCAGTATCTTCGAAACAATTCACACTACACAGAATTCATAACTTAGAAAATGAATATGATTATCAAAGTTTTATTGTACTGGGTGTTATAGCATCAGGGTGCCGTGGATAGTACCTATTGGGGCTACAATATTTCGTAGAAAAAAAAAAATTAGTTAATAAGTGATCTAAAATTATAAGTCGCTCTCATTCTCGTGGCAAGTATATGTTCGTCATTCCAATATATAACCCGTTTTCCTTATGTTTCGTGCGTCGGTTTTTCGTGGAAAAGGATAAAAACATGTATTTTGATGTAAGGATAAATTTATATGAATTTGGAGATGGGTAGGGGGGTTGGGGGTTAAAGAAAAGGATTCCCCGAAAAGGACAATGTGAGTTTAGGGAACCATCAGCGTGATTTTTATCGAGAGAATTAAAACTTGGGGACTGAGGCAATCGCACCCAATATCACCTACCACGTGTCCGCCAGCACTCGAGGCCACCCGCTCATAACTTAGTGAAAACGGGTCGGACACGTGAGGATCTCTCAAGGACCTCGTTATATCGAACCGTGATGTGATTCTCGGCTAACAGGGAAAATTAGGGAAAGAGACAGCAGATTTGGTGTCATCTGTGGTACGCTGTTTGCATGGTCTCCGTGATCGTAGCTACAGTGCTGTTCCTTGGTCAGTTTCTTCTGTTGAAACGAGAGAGAGCTCTGATGTGGCCGTATAATCTGCCCGTGTCGAAAAACGGTTCCTCAGGTAGATTGCTTGTGCTATCATCTACTGTGTTGGGCTTATTATGCTGGTCTGAGGTACTCCAGTGTTTACCAAAATTGTGATTGAAACTATATTTTTTGAAAATTGATATCAATTTGCGATTATCAAGGAACTTGCTACGTAACTTCCTGGTCAAGAAGGAAAAGTTCGTTTTAGTGGATAATTTGTACTCCAATACTAGTATGGCAAACCGTGTCAAAGGCTTCCTTAATATCCACGGTGATAGATGTTCATATTTATTATTGCAGTGATAATGTTAATATTTATTTTCATATCACACCATTTGGGACAAACACTTTTTTAGTCGCTGGTCACTGTTATTGTTTACATAACTCATGTCGTTGAGTGCCTCTTGCGTTGCGTGATGCAATCGAGACCATTTTATTTTATTTTTTTGAGGGAATGACTTCGGAAAGCACCACAGTCGTGACTTTGAGATTCGCTTGAATTTCTTTTCCTATTATCCCGATTAGAGGAACTATTGAGGTGACGTAAGGTCTATTTGTGGCTTAGGGATAAAAGGTGAGATCAGGGTGACCCTTTCCTTTCGATGTGTATGAGGTGAAAAAAGGTAATTGAATGTAAGGTATAGAAAGGAGTTGTCTACCGTGTGAGTTGGTGGAGCTCTGGTGTTGTGGAGTGGAACTAGTTTTAATGCGCACCGGCAGAGAAAATTGGGAGGATATCTTACTCATATAGTTAGAATTGTGCGAGGCCCGACCCAAAGAATATTCGTATTCTTGACATAAATCTTGAAATAAATGCATGTCTATCAGTCTAGACATGCATATCAACCGGGCAAATAGATGGTTAAATGTATATCTATCAGGTTTATAGATCGATATGCCTTTATTTCTACGTCTGTATTTATGAAAATTCATTGGGTTGGGCCTGGCACAATTTGAACAAACCGGCTGAATTAGTCTATAGATTGTGCATTTTTTTTTTTCATAGAGTCCATCAAATTCAGCAAGAGGTTATTTTGACAGTGACACAAAGAGTAGCAAGGTTGGTAGGGCCTTTTTTTAAGGGGGGGGGGGGTGAAATGTGAAATGAGGGCTGTCTTGTGAATTAGGGTCCAGTGGTGTATCTTATGATGGGTCCTACTTCCACTGTGACTTTGGAATGCAGCGATGCCGTATTCTATTGGTATTCGTGATGTGCGTGGCATTCGGCAGGACCAAGCCAGGACGTTCTTCTAGAAAATAGTAGAAAAACAGTATTACGAAGCGAATAAAATGGCCCAACACTGGCTTGAACGACCGTTAAGCATGCCACTTAAGGGTAGACCTACATGCTATAACGGTTCCGGCTCTGCTCGTCGGATCTTCAAAGTCGAACAAGGTCTATATAATTACATATTTATAAATACTAATACCTTTGAGATAGAGTCATGCGAACAGGACACAAGAAGGAGGTTTTGGGAATCGTCAGTTGGGAGAAATCGTTAATGGCGATTTCGGAACCGTTACTCTTAGCGTCGGAGCGGAGGATGCCAGTTTTTTTTTTTTTTTTTTTTTTTTTTTTTTTCAGTGTCCGCTTTGTGCTGCTGGTCGCAAAACGAGGCGCTTCTGTGTGGTGAGCTACGGGGCATTGGATTATTATTTTTGTTGTTACTATTATGATGATGATGGGGATTATTGTTATTTTTATAATTATTATTATCATAACTATCATCATTATTATCGTCATTATTGTTTATTAATCTCATTAGCTATGATTTCGGTGTCATACTAATGATATATTCGGTGTCTGTAATGACATATTCTGGGATGTATAAATTATCGCATTTAACAGCAGCGAGCTATTTTTAGGCGGGTTGTATCATCGACTTTGTCCTAAGTGTAAAGGTGTTTGTAATCTCGGTCAGCGGAGTTGTCCTTGAGACGTGAGTTCTGGGAGCACTGAACAGGTTCTGAGGTAACAGGCGGGAGACGGAGCAGTTTTTAGGCAATTTTTCTTTTCCCAAAACAGTTGTCACTTTGCTTTATTATTATTATTTTTTTTTGTATAGTTTATTCCTATAGTTTAATCAGGGTCGATCCGGTGGTAGTGACGTATTTGATGCTCTTCTTGCATTTGGAAGGAGTAAGTGTCAACGCAACAAGACCGCCTCTGTGGATGAAGGAGTGAGTGCTCGTTGTGGTTAAAACAATAATTGATTAATTATTGATGTATCGGAATAAAGCACTCTGGTTAGGTGTTGTAAGCTGGGACTGGCGTATTAAAATCTCAACGATTCGTGACTTGGGAGGCTTGTAAAAGCCAGTGACAAGGACACAGTTTTTACTTCCTGGCAGATTGACACATAAGATCTTAGGAGAATCGCCCTCTTAACCTTTTGAGCCACTGGTGTGAATTTTGCCTTCGTTTCGGCGGGAAGCGAAAGGAGCAAAGTCAC